CGCGCGCCGCAAGCAGCGGGCGAGGGATGACGGCCTCCATGTACGGGGGGCCTCTCCTCAACGACGGCTTCATGTTCCAGCAGAGAACAAAGTGCTCCGGCATCACCTAAATGTCCGGGCGCGTCATGTCTTTGGGGCCGTTCGGGACGTCGGCCCGCTTGGGGAAAAAGGAGCGGGGAGCGCCAGCGAAGAAGACGGCCAGCGCCCTGAACCGGGTGTACACCTTGGCGGGCGACTCGGTGCCGACCGTGAGGAAGTCCTTCCACGTCGTCATGTCGAGCTGCTTGTAGTGTTTACGGTCGAGAGCTTGCTGGTTGCCGCGATAGGGACGGTCCTCGTAGAAGAGGGAGACGCTGCGGGTTTGCCTGGAGACCAGGAGGCTCGCCTCCATGCCGGCCGTGTCGATGTCGCCGATGGCTTTGATCCTGGCCACTTCCTCGTTCGGTATGTCCAATACGTCGAATGGGTTGGTCAACTTGTCTTGGAAGGGCTCAACCATGTCTGCGTCGAGGAAGCCGGTGGGCGCCCACGGCTGGGTCGACATGATGGGCGGGTGGTGGGCGGGTGGTGGCGAGGAGGCTAAACCGCTACAAGGGCGGAGCGCACGAGTGCCAACGGTCAGCCGAGCCCCAGCCAAAAAAGACGCCGATATACGTAAGCGGCGAGGGGGGATCAACACAAGGCCGAAGGACCGCAGGGCGAGCGGGCGCGAGGAGACGAGAGCGGAAGGATCAAATCTAAAGCGCGAGCCACTCACCTTGCGTCGCGGGCGCGGGCGGCCGAGGCGGGGCGGCGCGGCGATGTCAATCCAGCAGATGAAATCGCGCGGCGGCGGGATCTTGTGCGCCCGATCTATCTGCGACCGGGCGGGTGGCACCAGGCGAGGGCAGGGCCGGGTGGTGGTGAAGCAGATTGAGGTTCAGGTTGTGGGAAAAGCGTGGCGGCGGTGCCAGTTGGGGGAAGGAGCGTGGAGGTTTTTTTTTACTGCCAGTGGGCTGTCGGGCAAAACCCAGGCGCCTTAGGTAGGTAGGTAGGTCGGTGCCGGCCAGGTGGAGTGGGTGGGGTTGACAAGAATCAACAACTACGCCAAAGCCGCGAATACCCAATCCTCCACCTCCGCCCTGGACCACGCCCGCCCAACTTGTCAGGCTTCATGCCCTGCAGTCGATCGATCGCCAACGGCGTCTCCCCACCCGCACCGCCGATCGTCCAACCCTGGCACCTCCAATACACGCATCGCGCGCATAGAAGCCGTGCAGCCGTCGCATCCGCAGGTAAGCCGCCGCTGCTTCCCCGCCACACTGCAGAGGTCGATTGGCTGACCTTCAACCTCGCGGCCACATAGAAACAGACGAACGAATGCCGTCGACGCGGTCCCTACACGGCGTCGGTGAACCAGCCGCCCTCTGAATCCACACGCCGCTGCCCGAGCGGTCGGACGCCTCGACCGCGGCGTACACCCAGCAGAGCCCGGGCGGACCGCATCGCCGCTGCTTCTTGCTCCCTACCATCCGCCCACCATGGCCGGCCAACAGTGGCCGTACTGCTGGAGTCCTGGACTCCGGATTCTCGACCATCGACACACGCTCGCGTTCCAACACCTGCTCCCCAACCCCTTCGACGTTCTCGGGATGGACGCGGCCGAAATCCTCAGGATCATGGCCGTACCCGTGCTTAAGCACCGCCGCCGGGCCTGGAGGCACTACGTTAACCCACCGGCCGGCGATACCGCCCAGCCCCCCTATACGTTGGTGCACCTGAACCAGGTGAAGGCACTCTTCGTGCCCGTTCAGGCACCCGACCCGACCAAGAAGCGCACGAAGCGCAAGGCTGGCGGGGGCGCGCGCGCGAGGGACGGCCTGGACGCCTTCGAATCGATGCACGACTTTTTCCAGGGTGCCCCGAGGACCTTCTTCCCCGGGCTCGCCCTTGCCCCCGCCCAGGCCGGCATTCTTGCTCCCTCGGGCATTTAGCAAATCCCTCGAGGCTTTAAGAGCGCCTAGCGCATGAAGGAGGTCGCCGGCGGGTATTCCGACGAGATGTGGGCAATAGAGGCCGTCGCCATGCACGGCCAAGAGGAGCAGCACCAGGCCCAGCCGCCCCAGGCACACGAGAACTATTCCGAGCAGCACCCGGGCCAGCCGTTCGAGGCCCAGCCGCCTCAAGCCCAAGAGCACCATACCCGGCCGCAGCAGGCCCGGCCACACCAGGTCCAGCCCCATCAACGGCCACCCGCGCTGGGCAGACATGACGATACGGCCAACTTGGTGGCCGTGTTTACCAGATTTGCCGCGGTCGATAGGCTCGTTTTTCTATTCTGGGCTAGAATTTGTCACTGGTTGCGGCCATGTCGGTTAGGAATTTATGCCCAGCTTTAAGATGGCTTTTCTTCTTCAAAGGTACGGACGGGCTGCTTGCCTTTTCCAAAGTGTTTCGGCAAAGGTGACCGTTTTGGAGCAGCAGCTGAATGTGCGTTGTCGTCGTTGTCGTTGCAGCCCGCCGGCAGCAGCAGCGGGAGCACGGCGGCTGATTGAGAGGACGACGCGACGACCGGCTCCCGCTGCTGCCGCCGGCGGGCTCCAACGCGCGCAGCGGCCTCCGGGGAGGCGGGCCGGGAGCACCAGTGCCGCCACCGTGGTCGCTAGCCTCGGCTTCTTTGGGCCACCTGCCGGGACCCCGGCCCGTTCCACCACCCTTCTTTTTGACGGGAGCGGCGGTGGCCGGCAGAGATGGTGCGACGCTCGCAAGGATCGACGTGGGCGTATGGGCGCTTTGGAGCTTGGACTTGGCAACCCGCCCTGGAAGCTACCGGCTCACAGGGGCGTCGTCGAGCCGGATGATGGTTCTACCAATCGCCAGCTCGTCGTGGTCGTTGTCCAGCTCCTTGGCGCGAACATTCCTCTGGGCTTGGCCAAGGAGGACCTTCTAAAATCATCATTATCATCGTTATCGTCGTTGTGTTTATTTTTGTCCATGTCCATACTATGCTCGGCGGCCACATCCTCCTCGTCATAAAACCGGATAGGATCGCCATCCGAATGGAGATCGACGTCTTGGTTATGCTCTTCGCTTTGGACGTCATCCGGAATAAGGCCCGTCGCGCGGGCCTTGTGCAGCGAGGACGGTAAAGGTCCCCCGATAGACGGCTGGCTAGGCCGCAGGGCCTGCTCCTCGGCCTGAACCTCGCCGGCGTCGGCCAGGATGCGGTTCTTGCGGGGGCGGCCCGCCTTCTTGGGAACGGGCGCATCCTTAATGGCCTCGAGCGCCGCCTCCTCCTGCTTGCGGTCGCGCCGGAGACGGTCCTCTTACCGCCAATCCTCCACACATCTTGGTACAAGGTATCCGAGGGCTTTCGAGCAGTCGATCGCCGCGCGCGCGGCCGGTTTGTCGGTCGAGCCGACGAGATTGTATGGGCGACGTCGAGCCGTGCGGTCGGGAAGGGGGCCGGCGGGAAAGACGAGCTTGTTGGCGATCTAGATCGTGCCATGATGCGTCTCCGGCTACAACGGATCTTGCCGAGACCAAGGTTCCAGAGAGCAAAGAGGATGCGATCTAGCCATGGGGACTTGCGTGTGATGTCTGGCCATAACAGAACTTCAAAAACATTGATATCCGGTGAATTACAAA